GAAGGACTGAAGTACACTGCTGAGGGGAGCAGTGGGCTGCAGGAGAGGTCTGCGCACCATGTGGGACCCTCCTCCGGTGGCCGGGGAGCAGCCAGGGATCGAACCGGCACTGCAGAGGCTGTCGGCAGCTTCGCAACCCAGTGCTCAACCGCTGTGCCACCAGGGAGGCCCATACTTATATCTTTGAAAAATAAATTTTCAAATTTGTTAGCACTGTTGTTCATGTCATTTACTTATTAAATGCTAACATGTGTAATATCTGGTGCTTCCTCTTTGTTATACTGTTCTTTACTCTCCTTAAAAATACATTGTCTGGGGCCTCCCTGGTGGCGCAAGGGGTTAAGACGCAACCTATGAAGCTATCCGCAGCCACTGCAGCATGAGTTTGATCCCCGGCCAGAGAGCAACCCACATGACGCAGCAGACCTCTCCTGACTCATCCGCTGCTTCTCTCAGTAGTATATTTCAGTCAGTCTGCCTGTTCTATTCCCCACTCTGTCTCTGGTGAATCTTCTCACCCCTCACGCCTGTGGCCTGTACCCCAGTTCTTGCATGCATAAATAAATAAATCTTAAAAAAATATAATTACTGATACATTTGATTTTTAAAAAGATTTATTTTATTTACTTATGCATATAAGAGCTGGGGTGCAGGCCAGAGATGTGGGGGCGAGGATGAGAGGATTCACCAGAGACAGAGTGGGGAGCAGAACAGGCAGATTGACTGAAATACACTGCTGAGGGGAGCAGCAGGGGAGACAGGAGAGGTCTGCTGTGCCATGTGGGTCATCTCCCTGGCCAGGGATCGAACTTGTGCTGCAGTGGCTGGTGATAGCTGATAGCGCTGTGTCTTTAACCCCTGCACCACCAGGGAGGCCCTATACATTTGATTTTAACCTATCATCTTAATGTTTTTGCTTGTCCCATGAATTTTTTTAAAAATTAATTAATTTATTTATACAAGCACTTGGTACAGTCAGAAGCGCGGGAGGGTGAGAGAATTCATCAGACCCAGAGCGGGGAACAGAACAGGCAGACTGACGAAATACACTGCTGAGGGCTGAGGGGAGCAGCAAGAGGCAAGAGAGGTCTGTTGCACCATGTGGGACCCTCGCCGGGGATGGAACTGGTGCTGCAGAGGCTGCGGGCAGCTTCACAGCCCAGCGCTCTACCCCTGCGCCACCAGGGGAGGCCCTGTCCCATGAATTCTTTAATTTTTTTTCTCCTTTGGTATTTTATCCAGTATTTATATTTATTCTCTATAGAAGTGTCATTCTGACATCAATACTTCATCAGAATGGGAAGCAGAAGTGCTATATATTAATTTTAATCTGTTACATTCATTCACTCTCATGACCTCTTTGCACGTTGACACACATACTTCCACCATGTCATGGCATTCCTCTGAATGAATGCATCATGATTCTATTTAACAACTCCCTATTTGAGGACATTGAGACTGTTTTCAAGCTTTTCACTGTGAGCAACATACTTCTACAGATTTACTTGTGGACCTGGTTATTTCCTTAGTAAAAAATCTTAGAAGTACATAGATGAGTCAAAGCGCTTACACTTTTATTTTTTTTTTTTTTTTTTTAGAGGCATGTTTTTATTTATTTATTTATTTGTTTGTTTGTTTGTTCGTTTACACATGCACTGGGTATAGTCAGAAGCGTGGGAGGGTGAGAGAATTCACCAGAGTCAGAGTGGGGAGCAGAGCAGGCAGAAGGACCGAAGTACACTGCTGAGGGGAGCAGCGGGCGGCAGGAGAGGTCTGCGCGCCATGTGGGACCCTCCTCCTGTGGCCGGGGAGCAGCCAGGGATCGAACCGGCGTCGCAGAGGCTGCGGGCAGCTTCGCAACCCAGCGCTCAACCGCTGCGCCACCAGGGAGGCCCAACGCTTACACTTTTAAATGCTTTTTGTGGGTACTGCCAAACTTCCCCTCACGAATTTCATACAATGGCATGCCTAGCAGTTGTATGTTTCTCAGCACAAAGGCCAATGCTGAGTGTTGCTGTTCTTTTCTACCTTTGCCAATCTGATATATAAAAATGGTATCTCCACTCAGATTCAATATGCATTTCTTCCAGGCTGATAGGTGTGGTAGGCTGATAATGGCTCACTCCCAAACATAAATCCACTGTACTAATCCCAGGAAGCTGTGAATGTTACCTGCCAAGGAAAAGGGTTCTTTGCAGATGTAATTAAGTTAAGGATCTTGACCTGGGGAGATTATACAGGATTATTTGGGTGGACTATAAATGACATAAGTGCCCTTCCTTAAAGAAGGAGCGAGAGAGATTTGACACGAATGAGAAGGCAATATAACCACAGAGGCAGAAAACTGGAGTGGTGGCAGCCTCCAGAAGCTGGAAAAGGCAAGGAATATAGTCTTTCTAGCCCTTTAGGAGGGAATGTGGTCCTGCCAATGCTTTGATTTTGATTTAATGAAAATCACTTCAGACTTCCAGCTTTTAGAACAGCGAGAGAATGCATTTCTGGTGTTTTGAGCTACCAAGTTTGTGGTGATTTGTTAGAGTAACCATGGAACTAATGCAATAGGCTTTATATATATATTAATGGACCACAAGAAAAACCTTATGACTTAAATATGTATGAAAGTGAACTATCACACAATAGAACGAACAATTCTATTTATGTAAAAGTAAAACTGAATATTTGTAAATATGCTAACCTGTGTATTAGTGTCTAGGAAAGTGTCTGGAAGTTTATACACCAAGACAGTAACAGTGGTCATCTGGAGGGACATGTGGGAAGGATCCTGTGTCCTGAGGGGAAATGTCTTTTTTTTTTTTTTTTTAAGATTTATATATTTATGCATACAAGAGCTGGGGTGCAGGCCAGAGATGCAGGGGGTGAGAGGATTCACCAGAGACAGAGTGGGGAACATAAAAGGCAGACTGACTGAAATACACTGCTGAGGGGAGCAACCGGCAAGTCAGGAGAGGTCTGCTGCACCATGTGGGTTGGTCTCTGGTGCATTGGAATAACGAAACACAAATCACCGTTCACCTCTGGGCAAAGTCACAAATGCAAGGAACTTCAGAACAGCAGGACGCTGGTAAAATGAGTTTTAGTCTCATTTTACTTAGGGTTATTTCATTCTGGTTTTTCTTTCTAGTCTCTGCAGCAACGAGCTCAGTAGAATGAGACTGGGGGATTGAACTCTTGCTGCCAAGGCTGAGGATTGCTTCATAGTGCAGTGCTTTAACCCCTTGCACCACCAGGGAGGCCCGGGAAATGTCTTTTATTCAAGATACTACTTGAAATAGATCTATAGTTTGAAAAAGTTTTATGAGATTGTATTCATTTATTAATTGTGTAAAAAGAACAGATAAGGCATACGTGCTTGTTGTAATCAATAAAATGTGTAGCAAGTAGAAAGCAAAACTGTCCCTCTCCTTTTACATATCCCTGATCAGAACTACTTTTTTTAAAAAATAATAATTGGGTGGATATCTTCTTAAACTTTTTTGCACAAACAAATATATGTGATTTTTGAAAAACAAAACTTGAAGAATGAATGCACTGACCTTTCATTTAGGTGTGTTTCTCCAAAATCATTCTAGGCTTCACCTATGTAGGAGTCTCATTCTACTGAGCTCGTTGCTGCAGAGACTAGAAAGAAAAACCAGAATGAAATAACCCTAAGTAAAATGAGACTAAAACTCATTTTACCAGCGTCCTGCTGTTCTGAAGTTCCTTGCATTTGTGACTTTGCCCAGAGGTGAAGGGTGATTTGTGTTTCGTTATTCCATCCTGCTTTTAAAATGTATACTCTCACCAACACTTCCCCGCTGTGGCCGATACAAGGTCCACTTTTTCAAACCTGGAGAGGGATGATATCTAAGGTGAACTTCACAGGCGGGCTGGGTTTTTCTCCTGTGCTCATTGGCTACCGCGGCAGCTTCGTGACCGGCTTCAGAGGTCACCGGGCAGGCAATTTACCTTCGCAACGAACCAAACCCATCCAAATCTTTCCTGAATCCGACAGTGAACTAACTATTCGATTAAAGAGTTGGCTTGCATGGGGGTGTTTGGAACTCTGGGGCGAAGGTGATCCTTGGGATTTCGAAGGTGGGGTCATCCCGAACACCTGGACTAGGTCGAAAGCCTCAGCTCGGGCGCGGTGGGGTGGGGGGCGCGGGAGCCCCGCAGGGACGCAGCGCGGAAGGGCGCTCAGCATCACAGGATGTCATAAATTTCCCCCAAACCTCTATCTCCCCTGCCCTCCCGCGAGGGCCCCGGGACCCCGCGGGATCCCGCTCTCCAAAGCGGGGCTGTGCGCCCCGAGAGCGCCCGCAAGGGGGCAGTGCCGCCCGCCCGTCGCCGCCGCGGTGGGAGGCGAGCAGCCGCTGCAGAGTTCTGGGGGCTGGTTGGAAGAAAGTTAGGGGATGCCTCGGGGCTGGGGGCGGTCTCCAGCGGCTCGCCCGAGGGTGGGAGCGGGCCGCCGGGGCGCGGGGTGAGGCGCAGCGGAGGGGGCCGGGGCGAGCCGGGGTTCCGCGCGGCGCCCGCTGCGGGGGGCGCAGCCCCGGGAAGGTGCGAGCGGGCGGCGCGGGCGAGAAAGTGAGTGTGTGTGCGCGCCGCGGCGCTCCGGGAGCTGCGAGGCGCGGGTGTCAGCTTGCAGCCGGGGCTCCTCCCTCCGGCCCCCCTGCCCAGCCCGGCGGTCCCTCCTTCCTTCTCCGCTCGCCCCTCCCTGGCGGGCCAGGCGCTGGGACGCCCCGGCGGAGCAGGCGGCGGCGGCGAGTTGGGGAGCCCTGGGCTCGGTCCTGCCCGAGGGGCCCGAGCGGAGCCGCCCCCGCCCCGGCCCGGCCGAGCCGGCTCCGCTTCCCGCCGGCCACGCCCTGTCAAACTTTGTTGCTGCAGCCGCCGCGGCGGCGAGCCGAGCGGGCCCGGCGAGCGCGCGGGCGGGAGGGGCGCCGGGCCGGGCCGGGCGGCGAGGGGCGCCGAGCGCGGCGGCCCCGGCCCGCGGCCCCACCATGCCCCAGCTCGGCGGCGGCGGCGGAGCGGGGGGCGGCGGCGGCGCGGCGGGCGCCGGGGCGGCCGGCGGCGGGGACGACCTCGGGGCGAACGACGAGCTGATCCCCTTCCAGGACGAGGGGGGCGAGGAGCAGGAGCCGAGCAGCGACAGCGCCTCGGCGCAGCGAGACCTGGACGAGGTCAAGTCGTCCCTGGTCAACGAGTCGGAGAACCAGAGCAGCAGCTCGGACTCGGAGGTAAGGGGGCGCCCGCGGCGGATCCCGGGGGACCCCGGCCCGGCGCCCGCTCACCCGCCCTCGCCTTTGTGTCTCCTCCGCAGGCGGAGAGGCGCCCGCAGCCCGCCCGGGACTCCTTCCAGAAGCCGCGGGACTATTTCGCCGAAGGTACGTGCCGGCCCCGGGCGGCCCCCACCCCCGGACCCCGGCGCACTGGGCGGCTCCGCTCGGGCCGCCCCGGCCCCCCGTCCCCCGGGGCCGCGCCCCGCTCTCCGCCCCGCCTGGCCGCGGCCGTCCTGGGGCGCGCGTGGGGGGCGCTCGGGGCCGGAGGCCACTGTCGCGGCGCCGTCCCGGGGGCCAGGACCTCACCCCGCCTCGCTCTCGCCCGCAGTGAGAAGGCCCCAAGACGGCGCGTTCTTTAAGGGCCCCCCGTACCCCGGGTACCCCTTCCTGATGATCCCGGACCTGAGCAGCCCGTACCTCCCCAACGGACCCCTTTCTCCTGGAGGAGCGCGCACGGTGAGTGCCTTTCGCGTTGCGTCGTGGCTGGTGGGAGGCGCGGCGGGCGGGATGCGCCCCTGGGCTCTCCACGGGGTGGGGGATGGGGAGCCCGTGAGGTTCCCGGGCAGAACTTGTTTGCGAAGTTGAGCTGCTCCGGCCCGCGCCCGCGGGAGAGTGAAGTTCCCCTGATTCTCCCTTTCTGCTGGGGAGAGAATTTGGTGTCCGCTCCTGGGGTCTTTCTTGGCCTCCAGGAGTCCTGGCTCGCTTTAAAGGAGAACTTGGATGGGTGCCGGCCTTTTCGGGGGGAGGGTCCCGGTTTCCTTCCTGGATCTCGGTGGGCTCTCCCTGGCAGCTGGGTAATGGGCTGGGGGAGCCGGGCTGGCGACATCGCCCGGACTCCTGTCTCCCTGGGCTGCTGCGACTCGGTCCCTAAGAAACCTGGTATTTGTGGCGGGTTGTTCGCAGCCCCCTCTCCCCGCCCCCAGCCCTCGCGCGGGGGCCTCAACTTTTCAGCGGAGCTCGGGATTTTAAACTGGCCGAGATGATTTCGAGGGCGACCCGAGGCATTCTTCAAGTTGAGGAACTTGGCTTTTTCCCCCTTTGTTGCCGGCTTTTCTCATTTAAAGCGAGCGCTGCGACACTTTAAACCTGTTAATGGGCGCGCATTGTGTGCTGCGCGCTGGCATTTAGAGCCGTGATTAAGCAAATTGACCGGGCCCCAGACGACGTGCAAATGAGGGTGGATTCCTGCGCCCCCTCCCTGGCTCTAAACTCCCGCCCCCCGCGTCGCGAGAGGCGCAGCCCGGGGCCGGCGAGGCCTTTGTGTCCTCGGAGCCGCCACCCCACCTCAGGGCCTCTGCCCAGGTGCCAGGTCCGCCGGTCGCTCGGGGGCGGGTGCCTTCCCACCCGCTGCGTGCCAGGCTGTCTGCGCGCGGCATCGCGGGCAGTGGTCCTCTCTGCTTCCCGCCCAGCTTCCCGGTGCCTGCCAGTGCCTTTGGTTTCCGGGCGGGAGGTGTTGTCGTCTTAGGAGCAGCCTGGCAAAATCACTTTATGCTCAAGTTGGTCTTAAATAATGCCCTAATTAAAAGGCCTCCCGAAAACGCGCGGCGCTGGATGGGCGGTCTCTGCTGTCAGGGTACTGCGGTTGGAGCAGAGCGGAGGCATCTGTGGTGCTCTCCTGGCAGGCAACCTGGTTTGTGCGAGTGGAGAACAGGGGCTGTGACCAAGGGGGAGAGTTGTGGGACCACACAGGCCACACGTTCCTTTCTAGCCGGGAAGACCCTGAAACTTTGTCCCTGCTTGGAACGCCCCAGGAAGTCCTGAATAGAAGCTGGATGTGGGCATCTATCTGCCTGTTCCTTTTCTCCTTCGTATTTTAAGGGAAAAAAAAGATGAGAGTGAAAGTTGTGCAAAACAAGCTCTGACCTTGCTTAGGTTTTCACTGATTCACTTTCATGTCTGCAGGTGTATTTTATCTCTGAAAGTCTTGGTAAGTTTCCTGTAACTGTGTGAGAGAGGATGATGCATTTACCGTTTCCATTTACCATTAGATGTCTGGAAAGAGCAGTCTGGGAGGCATTAACATCTGTGTCAGCCCTGAGCCAGGTCCTGGTGCAGATAAAGTCAGGAGAAATGTCCCAAAATTGACCAATTAATTTCCTCAAGAGGACTATTTCTTCTATCTACCCATTTTTCTTTAGGGCATTTTGATTCTTCCTCTGAATGCTGACTCTGATAAGTGCCTGTTTTCATCTGTCACTCCTTGGGGAAAGTCCAAGTAGGACAATCCCCGCCTTCCGTCCTTCTACCATCTTTCCTCCCTTTTGCCACCTTGCCTGTTCTTTTGCCTAGGAACTTCCAAAGCCTTTTTTTTGCTGGTGGTGGGGAGTCCTGATAACCAAATCCAGGATATGTGGGATTTTTGGAGTTCTCCTTGGGGGGGCCAGCCTTTACCTTCTGCATGCATCTGACAGTCCCTGCTCCTCCCTGCAGCTGTTCTCTGCTCAGGCCTAAGTAGCCATCCTCCTTTCAAGCCTCCAAGGATAGTCACTCTTGTTGTCGACCCTTTGTAAGAGACTTAACATGCCTTGTCCCACTCCCTTGTGTCCCTGATGAATTACCCTTACAGAATTAAGTTCAATTTCCCCATTGTTTCTGTGCCCCTTATGTGTCTATCATTGTGTAAGTCCTGCCTGGTTACAAAGTTCATTGATATAAGAACCTGCTAATTAGACACTCTCCTTGATCATCACGGGCAGCTAGGACTAAGCACCTGATTGTCTAGATTGTAGAGTTGAGATGATGCTTTTCCTCTGCATGATTATATTTATATAATTAATGTGATTCTCACTGTAGGCAAACGTTAGACACAAAGGGGCCCTCTGTTGGCTTTTTAGCCTGGTAAAATGAATGTACATATGGAGTGGAGGTGGCTGAAGGGTTCTGTGGAGTGGGGTGATACCTGGAATAGAGGGGCTGGTTGCTCATTTGGTATACTCGGTCTTCTTTTATTTTACTTCCATATTTTACAAATGTAGATTTTGCGGCTCACAGACCTGTCAGTGCTGCACTAACGCACTTTCTGGAAATACAAGCCAGAAGTGAAAGTAGGGATTGACTGGGATGTTTTCAGGGTGTTAATTGACCCTAGGAATGGCAAGTAACTGAACTGTAGCACCCTCATCCGCTGGCATAATTCCGGCGGGGACACCTGGGGGCTAGCCAGTCTTAGAGTCCAGCCATCTCTTCCCGGTGTATTACCTTTGCCCTCCACTCTGGTTTGGCTGGGAGGCTGGGAAGTGGCCTCTTCCTGAGGCTCTTTAGAGAAGAGGTTCCCCTTAACCTGGGGTGTGTGCCAAGCCTCTGTGCTGTGATTCATTCTCATTGGAGCCCTGAGGACTGTGGCCTATGCAGAGAGGAATAACACCCACACGCCGTTTCTCAGTACAAATAGTCACCCCAAAATGATACGTTCATTCATGAAAAGTCTTCATAAGTTGACCAAATGACCTCGGTGCTGTTGATTAAAATTTTGTTAGGAAAATATAAGTCAACACAGAAGAAAGTGAAGGTCAAAAATACTTTAAGGTTAATTTTCTCTGAAGAGAAAATGTTGAATGTGGTTCAGTGAGCTACCTACAAAGTGATAGAGATGGTTTGACTGTGACCACAATAGGAGAGTTAATGACGTTTTGGAAAAGGACACATCTCAGTAGAGTTATAAAGGGAGTCTATGGTTTTTGTGTCCAGCTTATAAATTTAGGAGCCACTGCTGCACAATCGCTCAGTGCTTGCACCTTTCTTTAACCATCTTGTCTCACATTTCTACATGAAATTGTTTTGTTCTTCCAATGTGTACTTATTTTTTTTTTTAAAGATTTATTTATTTATGCAGACAAGAGCTAGGGTAGTAGGGCCAGAGATGCGGGGTGGGGGTGGGGCGGTGAGAAGATTCACCAGAGACAAAGTGGAGAACAGAACAGGCAGACTGGCTGAAATACACTGCTGAGGGGAGCAGCGGGCGAGTCAGGAGAGGTCTGCTGTGCCATGTGGGTTTCTCCCTGGCTGGCGGGGGATCCAACTTGTGCTGCAAAGGCTGTGGATTGCTTCATAGTGCGGTGCTTAACCCCTTGCACCACCAGAGGCCCTATGTACTTATTTTTAAGTCCATCATATCCCACTGTTTCCATGAGCAGTCTTGCCAATATACTGGGTATTCCTATTTTTTCTCGACATAAAGAAACCCAAGCAGAAATTTTTGTACATAGAGAATTTTTTTTACATAGAGAAACCCACAGAGAAATTTTTACAAGTTACATGTAAAAGCTAAGTAAAGCCTTTTCTTTGGGAAGATCAGTATAAACATGCTGCTTTTGGTAAAATTCTTTTAAGCCATTTCATCTAAATATAACTTCTGTTCCATTTTTTTCCTAAATATAACTCAGGGTTTAATGAGGGCTTTTCACATGGAATGAGCTTTTGTGAGGTCTCTGTCTCTGTTGCTGAAGTTTTGGCACTTGTATTGCTGGTGTGACGGTTGGTGACAAACTGTGGAGGGACAAATCCCTGACAGTCTTTTATCTTTGGTGGATGAATCTGTCAGGGAATTCCTGACTGACTTTGTTGTCATTTTGGAAAGTTGTAATGCACACACAATCTGCTGTTAATGTTGAATGTTTCAGTCTTTACCATGATGTGAAAAGTTACCCAAAAAAGTGGGATAAAAAAAGAATTTCAGTGATTAAATTGTTGAGAAGTCTAAAGTGCAAAGATCTTGTTTATACTACAATTTGAAGACAACTTTCAATTGCTGAACTGGGGGAATTCAGATTGGCATCCTTAAGATTAAGATCTCACTTCATTTGATGTTTACTTGAGGCTCTGTCATAGGCAGTGGCTAAAAGGACTGTGGAAGATAGGATGAATCAGACCCAGCTTTGCCCTAAAGGATTTAAAAATTGAATTAGGAAGACTTAGTTTTAGCACAAAGCTCTATAATAGGAAGTCTTTGTTAGGCGTCATTAATGTCCAGAGAAGAATTTTCAGAATAAAGAGACTATAAAAATGGCTCTGGACTGACTTGATTAAGCAGGCAAGTAGAGGAACTTGTTTTAAGCTAGTCCCTGAAACTCAGTCATTCTTTCATTCAAAAGAATTCTTGTTAATTATAAAAAATTAAACAATACAGAGGTTCTTAAGGTGAAAAATGGAAGTCTTTTTTTTTTTTTTTTTTTTTTTTTTGTGTTCATTCCCATTACGGAGTAGAAACCAGCATCACAATTACAAAATGAAAAGTTCAGGGATATTTGGGGTGATACAAGTTATTCCATTTGCATGGAAGGGGAAGGGGTTGGGGCTTGGAGTGCTTTGAATGCCAGTAAAGTACCTGGTCTTATTCAGGAAGTAACTGAGAATCCTCAAAAGTTATACTGGGAAGTGATGTGACTCATACATGTGCTTAGAAAGATACTAATGATTGGAGAGGTGAAGCTAGAACAGCGAGAAGACTCACAGGCGGC